TCCTCTCAGCATATCATACAATAATCTCACACGTTGTATCACAGCTGTACACTTGAATTGAGTTGAGCCCTTTGTGCTCACTTTCCCACTCTACCAGACAAGCTTTGCACAGTTCACCAGTGAGTGAATCAGCTGATTTAAAATAAGTCTTGTTTATGTTTTACTGGGCTTCGGCACAGCCTGTCCGTTCAACCCACTCACTGTCTGAAAGCTCACTGTGTGTTGTAGCTCCTCAGTCTCCTTTTTGAACTTTCTTCTTATTGGCTGCAAATTGCAAACAGAAGGTGTGAGCAAACACCAGGATTGTCCCCTCTCTTTGTCATCAATAAAAACTGAGAAAGCAAAAACAGAGCTGTCTGAGATGAAGCCTTGTTTAAAGCGTTCATTGTGTTTGAGCATCCACTGCTGTAACGGTGAGGACAGAAAAAACAGGAAATAAGCCTGTGATCTTAAACTTTAAACACAAACATAAGCAAACACTTGCATTTTTGCTTTTTTTTTTAAAAAGAACATAAGTAAATTCATCCATGAAATATGTCCAAAATGATTTGTCTCTACCAGAATAACTATCAGGGAGAATGTGGATTTAATCCGTCTGCAAAAGCAGCTTTCAGAAAAGAGCGCTGCCCTGAGAGTTACACAGGAGAAATTCACCAACCTGCAAGAGGTCAGAAACACTGTCTGTCAAACATTTCTTTTCTTATGTCACAGGAACTTCTTGTTTCAGCTTACTAGACATTTTGCTTTTCTTCTAGGCTTATGAGAATCAGCTAGAAGAGGTAAAGGTCTCAGCACACTGATAAAGTTCAGCTGATGTTTCAGGTAAATAAAATTTGAAAAACCGCCAATCGTAATTTTGACTGCCATGTTTTTATATCAGACTCAGAGATCAATGAGGGAAAGTCAGGGAGCTCTGCTGGGGAAAGCTGAGGAACTGACCGAACAACTGAAACAGGAAAGACAAAAAGCTCTGGAACTAGAGGGACAGCTTACCAACACGACCCTGTCTCTGCAGACCCTCGACAAGGTACGCTACCTCATCTGCATGAACAAATCTAAGAGAGAACCTCAAAGATGACAGAAGGATGTCTATGGTTCATTACCAAAAATCTGGAGATCATATAATATATAATTTCTCTATCAGCTGCAGGAGAGGATATCAGACCTGGAAGGAGAGAGGGACCTGATTAAAAGAAACTATGACACGCTGCTAGAAAGGTAAAACAGTATGTGCTTCAAGACCAAAGAAAGTTATTAATTCCAATATAAACCACAAAACATCACCTGTTGTTTCAGTGGTTATTTAAACCTTCTTTTCCACCCTTTTTTCAGTACTTTATCTTCTCAAAGCACCCATGATCACCAGGTGGAAAAACACGAAGAAGTGCTTCAGACAAGCGAGAAGCTCGGGGGAAATATGAGCAGGATGGAGGAAATGCTGCTGGCAGAGCAGGAAGACAGGCGCAGGCTGGAAGTAGAGAAGGAGAAACTGAGGCGAGAGAAGGAGATACTGGAGGAGCAGATGGAGCAAGAAAGAGGTCTCTTCATTTCTCACCATGTGCTCGTCCAAAGCAAACAGGTTGTGTAATACCAACCCCGTTTGTTCATTTCTGTTGTTACATTTAGAGCTTTCCTTGTCTATGAGAGACAAACAAGAGCAGCTGGAACAGGAGGCGCTCCGGTACAAGGAGCAGGTCTCTGCTCTGCAGGACAGGCTGGACTCTGTGAGCAAGGTCCGAAGTTTTCAGCAGCTAATTTACACTTTCTGTGTGTTATCGGTGCTTTAAGCTGTGACACAGTTCCCTCTCTTCCAGGAGTTTGACATGAGCGTTGAGGAGCTGAGTGAAACCCTTCTGCAGATCAAGGTTTGCACTCTGTTGTACCCTGTTAGACAAACAAACCACATAAATTAGTAGATAAATTG